GAATTAATTGAATTAATTGAATTAATTGAATTAATTGAATTAATTGAATTAATTGAATTAATTGAATTAATTGATTAATTGAATTAATTGAATTAATTGAATTAATTGAATTAATTGAATTAATTGAATTAATTGAATTAATTGAATTAATCGAAATAATTCAACTAATTCAATTAATTCAATTAATTCATTTATTTCCAAAGGGGAGGTGGAATTAATTGAATTAATTGAATTAATTCCAATTATTCAATTAATTCAATTAATTCAATTAATTCAATTAATTCAATTAATTCATTTATTTCCAAAGGGGGGGGTTCAATTAATTCAATTAATTCAATTAATTCAACTAATTCCATTAATTCCAGCCCCCCTTTGGAAATAAATGAATTAATTGAATTAATTCATTAAATTCTTTAAATTCCAGGGGGAAAGTGGAAATTAAGGAATTTAATGAATTAAATTCTGTCTGTGCAACCCTACAGGACCTAAAATAGGGTCTATTTGGAACATGGCTCTTGTGAATAAGTATACGTTTTGGGGCCTGTTTTCCTCTTGTAAATACGATTCCCAGCTTCCAAATAGACCCTATTTAAGCTGCACACGGGGGGGGGGGGTGGGGGTGGGTGGGGGAGGGGGGGGAGGGGGGGGGGGGGGGGGGGGGGGGCCCTTGGCCACGAAGAAATGACCCTTAGCCACGAAGGAAATTACCCTTAGCCACGAAGAAATGACCCTCAGCCACGAAGAAATGGCCCTTAGCACCCAGGAAATGGCCCTTAGCGACCAAGAAATTGCCCTTAGCGACGAAGAAATGGCCCTTAGCGAAGAAATTGCCCTTAGCCACGAAGAAATGACCCTTAGCCACGAAGAAATGGCCCTTCGCCACGAAGAAATGACCCTTAGCCACGAAGGACTATAGGGTTTAAATATATATGTGATAGAGAGGTTTAGGGTTACCTTGGACCCTTTGTTTGTACCCCTGGGTTTTGGGGAGCCATTTTATCAACCCCAACAGAAGCCCCTACAATGCCCTAAACTTGGGCTGTTCCCCCTCATACTAACTGTTCTTAATCGGGACTATAGTGCCCCCCGTTATGATGCCTATTAAGGACTGTTAGTCTAAGGGGGAACATCCCAACCCTAAACCCTAAATCCTAAACCCTAAACCCTAACCACCCAGATCCCTGAACCCTTGGACCCCAGAAGCTCACTTGATAAGGGAATACGCCCCTTCATATTCGGATCCCTCTTGCGAGTTTGGGAAATGACCTCCGGTAACGGGATCGCCGAGTCTCTTGATACAACTCTGCCAGGTTCAGGGTCTAGGGTGTAGGGCTTCGGGTTCAGGGTTCAGGGTTAAGGGCTTAGGGACCTGGCGCAGCCACTTAGAGGGTCGTGGTACTTCTGAACCTAATAATGATAAGTGAACTTATAACCCAGTGATAACCCCATGAGGGTCCTTAAGGGGCTTCTGAGTGGGTCAGAAGTTGGGTTCTAGGTACCGTACCTCCAAATGGGATGCGATGTAAGTAGCGCCGCACCGCAGCGCCCCTTGGCACAGAGAACCTTGAATTCTGAATCCCAAAACCCTAAGCCTTGAACACTAGCCCTAAACCCTAAACCCTCAACCCTCAACCCTAAACCTCAACCCTCAAGCCTCAACCCTCAACCCCAAACCCTAACCCCTAAACCTCGACGATTGGGGCTGAACCTCCCGCGCCCGTAGCTCTGACGCGTCAGGTTGTACCTGCCCTTCAACTGCATACAGGAGCCCGCGGCAGGTTGAAGGCTGTCAAGGTTTAGGGTTTAGGGTTTAGGGTATGGGGTTTGGGGTTTAGGGCGCCCTAACCCCCAGTCCTTGAACCCTTTGAGCCATCACGCCCGACAGCGACGATGTCAGGGCCAGCCATAATGCGAGCTGAACATCTTGAGACCTAAACCCTTGGGTTTAGGGTTTAGGGTTTAGGGCTTAGGGTGTAAGGTACCACAAACAACGCTGTAACCGATCATAACTACAGTTTCCCTATGCGTGACCTCGGTTCAGTACCCATGAACCTCCAGGTAGGGCAATGGGGTCTAATTCATAAGTTTCAGGGTTTAGGGTTTAGGGGGAAAGTGTTTTGGGGGGCTTAGTAGGGCAAGTTCTGAGTTTCAACTTCATGGCCTCTTTGAAGACATTCCTGAACTTCTGAAGTTTTAAGCTTGCGTTTCCTTGGGTGATTTTGGGTGCCGGGCCTGAGGAACTTTGGTAGGAGCTTAGCCTTCTTAGTTGCTTTGGTTGCTTTGGTTCCCCTCGAATCCCTTTAAACAACGGAGCCCCCCCGCCCAATGCAGATGAAGGGGCGATTGTGATGGATTTGCAGGAGCGGTCGAGAATGGTGTGGCCGCCGGCGTTTGTCTCGGCCGAGAACCTCGAGCAAGCTGTCATGGCCGACAATCTTGTCGTTCCCCCCCTGCAGTTCGCCCATGACCGGGCATGGCCACTGAGTGCATTGGCACCTGCATGGAGACGTGCCTGGGCCTTGATTTCTGCCAGCATGACGCCAACTCCATAGGTAAACAGAAGGCGCACGCAAATGCCGGTGTGGACTTGCGGCGCCGTACAGGTTCCGCATTCTGGCCCCTTGTTAAGGTGCCTGGGGGGGACCTAGTAAGGGCCTAAATCCCAATTAAGAGACCGAAACCCTAACCTGAACTCCTAAACCCGAAGCCCTGGTCAACCTGATGGCCTGTTGATCCTGACGAGGAGATCGGACAGGGACTGTCTGGGCTGGTTCAGCTGGAGGCGGGGTGTCCACCTGAAAACTCGCGATAAAATATATCTATATATGGACACTTCTCAATATGATGGGGGGTACCCTAAATATTAGGGGCAGCCTTGTAAAGGAGGACCCAAATAGGACCATATTGTGGAGACGTGACCATATGAGGGGTTTCGAAGCCCTCAACTCTAAACCAAGTCCTACAACGCGGGACTTAGAAGTCAGAGCTCTCAAATTAACCCCTAAACCCCAAACCCCAAACCCCATACCCTATACCCTAACACGCAAGATCGAAGAATTAAGCCAAGACACACGTGATCTGCTTGGTAGTCCAGTTGTACCCTTTCGCCCTTTTTGGGTTTCCGGGTTCCCCTATGACACGCCACCAACCACAAGAAAGGCCCTCATAACGGCAAGCTTGCTGGGCTAGCAAGAATCTAAGGGCAGTTCCATGGGCCTGTTAATATATGGCATGGTCCCTTACCTCCCTTTTATGGGCCCTTGGGTTGTATAGGGTACATAAGAGGTATATAACGGGCACCTTTCAAGATACTAAGGGACCATGCAACTACCCTTAGGAAGTATGCCTCAGGGTTCAGGGTTCGCGGTGAAGGGTTTGGGGTGCTCATTATTGTGCACTGACGCGTTGAACACGGTGGCGTCGTGCAGAGTCGCCGAAACCCTAAGCCCTAAACAAATAGCAAATATTCATTAGCATATCAAAATACTAAAACTCTTATGCGTAACAACAGCCATTGTAATAGCATTCCCAATCAGAACCAGAATCATAATCCGAATCATCCTCATCATCATCGTCATCATCATCATCATCATCATCATATTGACAATTTAGGAGCCATTCTGTTTGTCGATGGTTTATGACTTTCCACAAGTATGTGTCATGCATATATGAGTATACTTCAGTATCTGCACACGGACTATTAGCATCATGCCGGTCAGGCCCTTTTCGACTCAGATGAGAAACCCTGAGCTCCGAAACCTTAAACTCGTAAACCCTAAGCTCTAAACCTAAACGCCTAAACCCTACAATGAAGCCTGAATGCTCTAAGCACTCTGCATCCGGAATCCGATGGCTTGTCGCGCTAAAGATATCCCTGGGTTAGAGTAGCCCGAAAGCCTAAAGCCCAAACCTTAAGGTGTAGGGTGTAGTACAATTTGCACGTTTTTGGCTTCCGTGTGCCCATCACTTCTACAGCTAACCAAAACAGGTCGGTTTTTTTGCTAGGGGTTACGGAACAACCTAGTTTAAATCATCCAAACACCTCAAGGTTCATAGGCACCGGGCCATCATCGGGGATAGAATCATCTACTTATCATCCGCACAGCGGCTGCGCCGGCCTTGTTAACATTCAAGGAAGGCACCTTTTGGCCCTCAGACAGGGATGCGGGCGTGGGGTCCGGGGTTTCAGTGTTTCGGGCTGTTTGTGGTTTAGGGTTTAGGGTTTAGTGATAGTGGTTTAGTGGTTTAGCGGTTTAGGGATTAGCAGGGTTGAGTTAGGAATGGGGTTGCTTCAGAGCTGCCCGCTCTTGACAATATTGTTATTGTTTTATCATGTGTTGGTGATATCGCTAGAAGGGGCCATGAAATTGAACGGTCTTAAAGGGGGTGAGGGGTTGTAAGAACAGTTGAATACACATCCGGGCCTATGACAACATTGCGAACCCCAAGCCCGACGCCCTATAGTACACTCTAAGCCCGAATGCAGTCGGAGTATGTTTTCTAATGCTTCTTTCATGGCTCCTTTATATAATGATGTCACAATAACCCCCCAGAACCCCATTTTCCACCTACTAAGGCCCCTATGTGAATCCCTTCTCTCGCCCGGACAAGAAGCAGCTGGCAGTGCTGGCAGGTGCTGTGGCTGTGTGCAAATCGGCTGACAAGCCTGGAAGGCATGAAAGGGATGAGAGGGTAGAGCTCTTGGATCTAAACTCTAATTGGAAGTTCACAAGGGGCTTGTTGCGTATATTTACCAAAGACAGGGGCATCTGCAACCTAGGAGTACCTCCCAATAGTCCCCTAAACCCTAAACCCTAAACCCTAAACCCTAAACCCTGCACCCTAAACCCTAAACCCTAAACCCTAAACCCTAAAGTCCCGTATGAGGGCTGAGAGTTTTTTTAGCCGGCGGGCGCCTTGCGCGAGGCACAAGGTTTCGCCATTGGTCCTGGGGGGGGGGGGGAGGCGTAGGTTGACCATGAAACCCGAAGTCTAGGGTTTAGGGTTTAGGGTTTAGGGTTTAGGGTTTAGGGTTTAGGGTTTAGGGATTAGGGTTTAGGGTTTAGGGTTTAGGGTTTAGGGTTTAGGGTTTAGGGTTTAGGGTTTAGGGTTTAGGGTTTAGGGTTTAGGGTTTAGGGTTTAGGGTTTAGCCTATTTTCAGGTTGGCAGTTTCCCCCCCATACGCCCCTTACAAATTTCGTATTTAACCCTAAGCGCCCGTAATATTCTGAAAGAAGCCTGGTAGAAGATACTGCAACTGGGCCTGAAATTGTCCTTCAGGGTTTAGGGTTTAGGGTTTAGGGTTCAGGGCCCCAATCCCCTAAGCCCGAAGGGGGTTCCTGACCAGGCCTGGACGCTCCCAATCTCACGGAGCTCAATGTGGCTGTGGCCCAAGAGGGAACCCTAAACCCTGAACCCTGAACCCAAGAGGGCTTGGGATTAATATAGGGGTCGGAATAATTTCTGACAGTGTTCCCTTCTGGCCCCTGTATAAATATTCTATAATAACCCCTATTCAGGCCCTGTGGGGTTTATGTAGGGGGGTTACAGGCCGTCAGGGCGGTTCAGAGTCCGGTTCTTCTCTATGTCAAGAGTGGCTTCAGAGGACGCTCTGGCGTGTTTACGGCTTTTCCGGGTTGAGGGTAAGCTTTGCACCCTTCAACCTTAACCTGCACAGTCCGAAATCCCTAGTCCTAGGGTTTAGGGTTTAGGGTTTAGGGTTTAGGGTTTAGGGTTTAGGGTTTAGGTTTAAGATTTAGGTCGGCTGCCCTAAGCCCACGACCATGTTTTTAGGGATATTTATTCGAGGGCTTCTTCCGTTTCACCGAGTCGACAAGACAAGCTAGGGTTTAGGGTTTAGGGTTTAGGGTTTAGGGTTTAGGGTTTAGGGTTTAGGGTTTAGGGTTTAGGGTTTAGGGTTTAGGGTTTAGGGTTTGGGGTTTGGAGTTTAGGCTTTAGGGTTTAGGGTTTAGGGTGCGTGTGGTACTGTCAGATTCTGGGAATTCACACCTTGACTCTCCCCAGATGCTGGACTGTAAGACTAAGACCCCAAAAACCTTCAGCTTGGCTTAGTCAAACTCCGCCAGTGGTGGAAGTTGTTTAGGACAGGTTGCGCCGCCTCGACGCGGTTGTCATCGAGGGGCTTAGGGTTTAGGATTTTTTGGGTTTAGGGTTTAGGGTGTAGGGTTTCGGGTTGAGGCTTGGAGAATCCTGAGGCGAGATGCATGTGCAGCCTCTGGCGGTGTTGGGGCAAGGAAAAACCTCAGCATGAAGTAGTAGAACCCTCAACCTTATGCCTTATTCCTTTTTCCCAAGACCCTCAGACCCTGAAGTTGGATAGATGCCGTAAAATGCCAGGGCTCGCGCTGCTTCTCGGCTAGTTTATCCGCAGATTCTCCAGACGATGGCTAAATTTTTCCGAGCCTTGACCAACCCACAGCACGGCGGCTCTGCGCCACAATCCCTGGAGTCCTACATGAACCCTACTGTTCTTTTTGAGTGTATTTAGGGTCCCTTCCCTTTGGGGTGCCAAGGAATATAAGCCGTGCTTGATATCCCTATAAGCTTCAGGCTCAAGAAGTCTCAAGCCAATGACCCTTTCTGACCCTAGAGGCTGTAAACCCCATAAAGCCCAAACCTTCCACCTTTTGGACCACCCTAAACCCTAAACCCTAAACACTAAACCCTAACCCCATAAATCAAAGGGCTCAGGGCTCCCGTGCCTTCAAAGGGATCATCGGAGTGTTGGGCATGTGACGCCGATTTTAGGGTTCATTGGGGCCCCAAGTAAGTCGACAACCCTAAACCCTAAACCCCAAACCCTAAACCCCAAACCCTAAACCCTAACCCCTAAACCCCGAACCCTAAACCCTAAACCCCAAACCCTAAGCAAGGCCAGCAACCGCATCTCCTCCATCGAGCACGTCGTGGATCGCATGCCTCGGTTGCAGTCACTGCCACTGGACGAAGTCAACACCTATGGCCAAGCCTCGTAAACCCTAAACCCTACGCCCTAAAGCCTAAACCGTAAACCCTAAACCCTAAACCCTGAACCCTAGAGCGGAGGAATCATGTGCGTTCCGGGTTGCGGGGCCTTGGTTCCGGGTTTTGGAAACTCTGGCACTAAGGGGAGTATCTTGGTATACAGCCCAGTTTACCCGTTTCGCCCTCTTTCTTTTTGGGGTTCGAGGTTCCATACTGCAAGCAACCACCCCCCCCCAAAAAAGGGCTGCCCTTGTGATAGTAGGGTTACTGGGCTACCTTTAGGTATAGAAATGGTCGGTTCTCAAAGCGTAGGTTGGTGATTCGGCTTTAGTGTTACCGTGGGACTGGTTCTTATTTTGGACACAGGGTTCAGTATGTGGGGGTTTACGAAAATAGGGGACCCCTAGAATAGACCCCCGAAAGCAGGATTCCTTACAATAAGGACCCCGAAAACTTTGTAGTGCTTTACTGTAACTTTAGATCCTTAGCTTTTTTGGGTTTATTGGGTTTCTTAATCTGGCAGCAAAAATTCTAATGTTTAGCTACCCTTCTGAGTGCAGCCAAGAAAAGGTACCCCGAAATTCGGAAACCGCCATTTTGGACACAGGGCTCAGTATAAAGGAACTGCTCTACGAATGGAGGGGGCGGACAACACTTCGCTTTTTGGATGAGATCCCGTTCTCACTGCATTTGCGCACCCGCTGGGGCGCGCAGATTCTGCTGCAGACATGACTCGCGCGCAACCTCCAAGGACCTGCTATGTAGGTCAACATCGATTAGTAGAAGCAAGGCTGGCTTTGACTTTCCATCTGCCCCTGATATGCACTTCGGATACCCTGTAGCTTTAGGGATTAGGCTTCCTAAACCCCAAACCTCAAACCCTAAACCCTAAACCCTATTGGGTGCATCGGGCCAAAAGAAATCTGGGTATAGGAGCCCTTGAATTCTTCGGGCTCATGCAGCAAAAGCTCCAAGGAATCTCGCCGACAACCGGCTCTACTCTTACCGCGAGGCCTTCTCCTCGGTTTAGGGTTTAGGGTTTAGGGTTTAGGGTTTAGGGTTTAGGGTTTAGGGTTTGCGGGGCTCATCAGGGTGAAGGCGACGGCTGAGAAGTTCGAGCATCTCATCAGTGAGCCTGAGCCCGAAACCTACTGATTCTTAGTAGGGTTTAGGGTTGAGGTTTACGGTTTAGGGTTCAGGGTTTAGGATTTAGGGTTTAGGGTTTAGGGCTCAGGGGCCTAGGGGCCGGGCGGAAGTAGGGAATTCGGCATCCCAGAGAGCCCTTACGTGAACAGAAGGTGCCTCATGCAAAGCTTAGACCAAGAGCCTGCAATCTTTGTCCCAGTAAAATGGCAACAGTCTTACTCCTCGTGCTGAACCAACCCTAAACCCGAAACACGAAACCCGAAAACCCGAAACCCTACTAGGAACCAGGCTCAGGGATGGGATGCTCAAAGCTCTCAGCCCTCGCCCTCACCATGATGAGCCCCCTTACCCTCAAACCTAAACCCTAAACCCTAAACCCCTAAGCCCGAAACCCGAAAGGGCTTAAATTCAGGAGGTCGCGAGCAGCAGGAGTGTCTCCAAGCTCCCTAGGGCCGTTGTTCCCCCTTATACTAACAGTCCTTGATAGGGATTCTAGGACTCTTTCCGAGCCCCTAGAAGGGGCTGTGAGTATAAGGTGGATCATCCCAACCTAAAACTCGCTTTTTTTCAATTTTAAGTTTCTTCTTATATCTCAAAACCTGCCATTCTGTAGGCACGCTGTACGTTTTCTCATGTTGGCGTACATACTTCTAAGGTCCATGCCAAGAAGGAGGGTTCTGGAAGGCTCAGGCACCTCAAGCCTTGGCCTTGTAATGCCTACGCCAGCCTCCAGACCTCACCCTTTAGGGTTTAGGGTTTAGGGTTTAGGGTTTAGGGTTTAGGGTTTAGGGTTTAGGGTTTAGGGTTTGGACGCAGAGTCAGGGCCTACTCCCTCTGTTTCAGAGTAGGCCCTTACCTAGGTTCCTCCTGGGCCGAGTTTTTAGAGTTTGGGTTCCTTTGCAAGCCCCTTGTAGCCAAAAAGTGTCATGTGTTTATTCTTAGGCTACTCTTGGGTCTGGCATCTGCCTTGTGCTCTCAACTCTAGATTCGCTGAAGCCCAGCAGCCGCATACTCAACTCTCAGCGTAAACCCTTTAAACCCAAAAAATCCCTACAGCCTGAACCTTCGACCCTAAACCCTAAACCCCAAAGCCTTTCTCAGGCCTTTAGGGTTTCAGGGCCCTCCAGACCAGGGTTTAGGGTGTTAGGGCTTAGGGCTGAAGGATTTTTTGCCCTCAACCCTAAACCCCAAACCCCAAACCCCAACCCCAAACCCTAAACCCTTGACCCTAAACCCTAAACCCTAAAACTGTTCTGGGCAGGTGATCAGCCTCTCGAAGCTGGATGCCTTGCACACGCTGAGCTTCGCCGACCCGGACTTCGGCGAGCTGCTGGGGCTACGGAGGGTTTAAGGGTTTAGGGTTCAGGGTTTAGGTTTAGGGTTTACGGGGCAGGGTTTGGAGTTTAGGTTTGGGGCCAGCGTTTTCAGGGCTTAAGGTTTCCAGGGTTTAGGGTTTCCAGGGTTTAAGATTTACAGGGTTTAGGGTTCAGGGTTCCTCGGCATTCAGTAGTCTCTGCCGAGGCCCAGTAGTCGCTCCTACGGGAGCTGTGGCGGCCCTAAACCCTAAACCCTGAACCCTAAACCCTAAACCTGAAGCCTTCAAGTGCTCTCCAGGTAGCCGGGGGGGGAGGGCGTAGGTGTCCTCCTTGAATCTCAACCGCGATGGCACTACAACCCTAAACCCATAATAAGCTTACGGCTACAATTCCCTGCTTTTTGTGCAACAGTAGCCCTCCGTTTACGATCATAACCCCTAAGCCCTAAACCTTAGGTTGATCTAAGCCTAAGCCTAGTAGGCTTTTCATCGTAAGGCATACCTTAGTAACCCAAAGCTGCCTAGGCCTAAACCCTAAACCCTCAACCCAAAACCCGAAACCTAGACCCCAAACCCTAAACCCTAAACTGTTGCCTAAACCCGAAACCCGAAACCCTAAACCCTAAACCCTGTCTCCGGGAATCTTGAGGCCTTGGGATGTCTCGGGACTCGAGTGCTCTCGGGTCGCTGTGCGCGGGGCATTGGGTTCTTGTAGGGGTTTAGGGTTTAGGGTTTAGGGTTTAGTTTAGTTTAGGATTTAGGGTTTAGGGTTTAGGGTTAAGGGCTTTTTGAAGTGAGGGTTTCTAGGGTTTAGGGAAGCTTGAGGGGCGTTAGCTTTAGGGTACATGGAGACTTAGGGTTGTCTCTGCGCCCGAATGGCGCACAAAGCAGACGATCCACGACTTGGGACGATCGTCACCGACCTTGGTGGCAGCAATGGCTCGGCCGCGCTGCCCACTGCAGATGTGGTCATCATCGGCTTTCCATTCGACGAAGGCTGCATTCGCAACGGCGGGCGCCCTGGTGCGAAAGACGGTCCTGCTTACTTCCGAAAGTTTCTGCGTTCAATGGGGGCAGTGGTCAATGCGGAGTACGGCGTCAACATCGCGGGCTTCGTGTCCGTGGCTGATATGGGCGATGTGGAGGGTGCGACCCTGGAAGAAGCGCACGCGGACCTCCGCCAGAAAGTCGTGGCAGTGTTACGTGCTGGGGGCATCCCCTTTGTGGTGGGTGGTGGCAACGACCAGTCGGCGCCAAATGGCATGGCGCTGATGGACTTCCTCGAGCAGCGCCAGGACGCGCAGTCATCCGCGGAAGTTGGCTGCGGTAGCGCGCGGTTCTGCGTGGTGAACATCGATGCGCATCTGGACGTGCGCCCCCGACTCGGGGATGCGAAGCAGGTGTCCTCCGGCACGCCGTTTCGGCAAATTGTGGAGGACGAGAGGTACCAGAAGCACGGATCGATTCTGGTGGAGTTTGCCGCGCAGGGGTCCCAATGCTCTGCTGAACATGCCAGGTTCGTCAAGGCTCATAACGGTTCCATCGAGTGGCTGTCCCGCATCCAGGACGATCCTGTCGGTCACTTTCGAAAAGCAATCCTGCACGGCATCTGCAAGGTGGGCCAGAACTCAGAGGAACCAGATCATCGTCTGCCGATGTTCTTGAGTTTCGATGTTGACTCGATTGCCAGTCGAGATTGTCCAGGGGTTAGCTGCCCCGCAAGCGTCGGCCTCTCTGCCGAGGATGCCCTCGGCATCATGCTCGAGGCCGGAAAAAGCGGTGTGGCCACGCTTGTGGATGTTAGCGAGTTGAATCCCGCCATCGAGGACTACCGCTCGCCGCGGCTGGTGGTGAATATGTTCTACTACTTCTTATTGGGTATAGCCCTCCGTCGCCAGAGGCTGCTGGTGGAAAAGGCGATGGGTATTGCCCCATGTCAAAGCACACATGGTGGCTCAGGAAGCCTCAGTAGGGGATCCAAAAGGAAAACAAGGGTTACTGGGACAAAGCCTCCTCTCCTTCTTCCCGTCCCCACTCTGCCCCACCCTCTTCCCCTTCTTCTTCCCTTTCAGTCTCCCTGTCTCTGTCTCTCGCTCGCTCCCTCGCTCGCTCTCGCTCTCTCGCTCTCTCGCTCTGTCTCTCTCTCTCTCTCTCTCTCTGTCTCTGTCTCTGTCTCTGTCTCTGTCTCTGTCTCTGTCTCTGTCTCTGTCTCTGTCTCTCTCGCTGTATTCTTTTGTCAAAACAATAGTAGTCTTTTTGCCGAATGGTGCCTAGGTACCACGCAAACCCAATCAACAAAGCCAAGGAACCCCATCTGCTTCCTGCCGCGCGCTCAGACGGCCTCTGATTTCTTGGGTCTTGAGGCAAACCACGTGTAGTTTGAGCCTTTAGGTTAGGGTTGAGATGTTCCGCCTTAGACTAACAGTCCTTTATTGGGATTATAATAGGGGTACTATAATGCCACTAAGGACTGTGAGTACAAAGGGGGGACATCCTACCCTAAACCCTAAACCCTAAACCCTAAACCCTAAACCCTAAACCCTAAACCCTAAACCCTAAACCCTAAACCCTAAAAGGGTTTCCGTCTGTTGTACAAGGCATGGAGCCCCAAGACTGGACTTCCGAATATGTATGATTTACGTTTAGCATTGATTGTGGCTAAACATTTGCCGATCACAGAAAAGCATATGTGTTTTATTGGTGAAATGTTACAATGGCAGTTCTTTGTTGAGCATGTACAAGAATCAAGCCTCTGCCATGAGAAGCAGGGTTTAGGGTTGAGCGTTCAGGGTTTACTTACTGGTGATTAGCAGGACATGAGGGAGTAGATTATTGGGATTACATGGGAAGCATGATAAGGATGCATTCCCCCATTCCCTACTAACCACTAGGGGGTCTAGGGTTTGGGGTTTAGAGTTTAGGCTGTAAGCTTTATGGTTCATGGTTTTTAGCGTTGAGGGTGTAAGGCTTTATCAGGTTTAGAGCTTCTTCAGGGTTTAAGGTTTAAGGGAACTGAATGGTGGGAGTATGCATGTTAAGTTCCGCAGGTTTCATGTGGAGGCCACCGGTATTGGGTCTGTCTGTGGGGTATACAGGGGTATCTGTTGTGTACTCAAGGGTGTAGAGGGGTAGATCGTGGTATCTAGGGGTATATAGCGCCCGGTTATTGACAAGCGAAGGGCAGCATCGTCATCGTGATAGTCTGCGTGCATTTACCAAATCTGTGGTAGCTCTAGTAATAATAATATTATTATTAATAATAGTAATAGTGCTCTCTGCGACAAGGTAAATGTATACTGTATAGTGTTAAGGGGTTGGGAGATACCCAACATACTCATTACAACCATGGCACCCATTACAGCCACTATGCCCCCCAATCTCCTGGGGTATGTCCAGTGTATTGTGCATTATAGCAATACTGACAATCCTTCTTTTTTTCTTGCCACAAGCTTTGAATTTGCAACTGTTTTGGCTTATGCCAGTGTCAGCATTGCTGCTCATTCTCGACCCCTACTGTAGCCATCTTGAGGAGGTATGTTGCGAGTCTTCAAGGCTTCGGGTGAAGAGGCTCTTGCACTCCAATTTGAGGAGTTCGTGGAGATGACCACTTCGAGCAAAGAGCCAGTGCGCGTATTAGCTCTGAAGCGCCATTTGCAGGATCTCTGCGGGCAGACACGTTTCAGGCAACGGCTGCTTCTTCCGGATGGCCGGATATTGTCGGATGATGCTGTGCTTAGAGGTTCAATGGACGTTCGGGTTGTAGTACTGCCTTTTCACTGAGAGCTCCGAGGAGCAAATCCAGACACTGCAAGGCGCTGCGGGGGAGAACAACATCTGCGCAATGGAGCAGCTGCTGCAGAGACCACAGGATCCAGACTTAGAACTTGAAGGCCAGGCCGCGCTGCATGCCGCATGTGACTATGGGTGTGTTGACGCTGCCCGCCTGCTGCTGGAGGCCAATGCTGACAAAGATAAGGCCGGCACCGAAGGCGCAACTCCCCTGTGCCTCCCACAATAACCACGTGGAAATCGTTCGGCTGCTAGTGGAGGCCAATGCTGACAGAGACAAGGCCGCCAGCGATGGCGCAACTCCCATGGTCTGTGCCTCGCTGAATGGCAACGTGGATATCGTTCGACTGCTAGTGGAGGCCAATGCTGACAAAGATAAGGCCGATACCGATGGTAAAACTCCCCTGGTCTGGGCCTCGCAGAAAGGCCACGTGGAAATGATTCGGCTGCTTGAGGCCAAAGCTCATAAGAAAGCGCGACTCGCATGATCGTGGCATCGCGGGCAGGTCACATGGAAGTCGTTCTCTGGCTGCATGTGGCCGATGGTTGACTGGCAGCGGGTAGTGTGGCAGAAACCTCGCCGTGGTTCACGGTCCTTAGTAGCCCAATGATAACTGTACTCCTAAACCCTAAACCCTAAACCCTAAACTCTAAACCCTGATAACCATATTGGGGCACTTAAGGGCTTATAAGTGGGTTTTTTAGTACAGTTATGATCTGTACTTCTAACCCAGTAATAGAGGGCTTGTACGTGGGTCATCAGTACAGTGCTACTTGGGTTGGTACCATGAACCACCAAGTAAGCCACTCCCCAGCAAGGAAGTTGGTGGCTGAAGGCTGGGGGGGAGGGCTGGTTTGGTCTCTTATGGGCTTGGCTTGAGCACTTCGCAGAAACGAATTGGGGGGTTAGCAGTTCAGCGCGAACGCGATCCGCGGAAGGCTTTTGTGCGCGTGCGTCAACCCCCCGGCGGACTAGGGCACCTGGAACCCTACATCTCAACGCACATCTCAACGCGACCCTAAACCCGAAACCCTAAACCCTAAACCCTAAACCCCTAAACCCCTAAACCACACCTCGGGCTTTTTTCATGCCTTCTCGCGGCCAGTTTGCTAAGCTGTGGTCCTGTAGAGGGCTTTGGGTACCAAAGGATTAGACGGCACCTTTTTCCCACCATAACGAGCATAACTTCGAGAGCAGAGCATGTGAAACAGGGTTTATGTTACTGTTAGTTGTGAGTGTACATAGGGCTCCTTGTCAATTTTGGCTGAGTGTATATACAACTTAGGATACCTACTGAGAGAAAACCATACTTTATGTGGTCAGTTGTCAGAATTACGGGGCCGCCCTAAAGGGGACCATCTTTTGACCATGTTACACCCTAAACCCTAAACACCCTGAACCCTACACCCAAAACCCCCTTAAAGCCTGAACCCTAAGCCCTACACCCTAAACCCTAAACCCTAAACCCTAAACCCTAAACCCTAAACCCTAAACCCTAAACCCTAAACCCTAAACCCTAGCGTTCAGGCAACGGGGGCACATGAGTTCTTTCGACCCAAGGTGCAACTACTCGACCTACGTGCTTTACCACCTTCCGAAGCTCCAGGCTCGCGCGGCCCCTTCTCCCCACTGCGCGCTTAGGGTTTAGGGTTTAGGGTTTAGGGTTTAGGGTTTAGGGTTTAGGGTTTAGGGTTTAGGGTTTAGGGTTTAGGGTTCAGGGTTCAGGGTTCAGGGTTTAGGGTTTGGGGCCCCCTTCCGCTGAGGGGAGGGTTTAGGACCCCCGACCCCCAATTCGTTGCTGAAGGCCCGCTGCTGCCCCAAGACCTAGACCCGTCCAAAAATGCCGGAACCCTAAACTCAGCAAGCCTAGGGTCCCTAAGCCCTAAACCCCAAACCCTAAACCCTAAACCCTAAGCCACAAACCCTCTCAACCCTAGACCCTAGACCCTAGACCCTAAACCCTAAACCTTGCCCTCAACCCTGGTCAAGGTGTAGCTACCCTAAACCCTTTTCTCTTCTGTCCCGTAATGTCCTAAACCTTCAACCGCCGTTGAGTGGCATATTCCAAGGTTGGAACCATGGGCCCTTAGTATGGTCCCTTGCTCTTGGTTACAGGAATTTGAAGGGATCCGAAGTATCGGCCCTTGTTCTGTATAGTGTATACAAGGGTTGTAACACAGGGGGCCCAAATCAAGGGCCCCTACTTCGGATCCTCTCCTAAACCCGAAACCCGAAACCCTAAACCCTAAACCCTAAACCCTAAACCCTAACCCCAAATCCGAAACCCCAAGAAGGATCCCCTACATGTGCTCCCAGAGTCCTCGCCATCCTGCGGAGTTTAGGGTTTCGGGTTTCGGGTTTAGGGTTTAGGGTTTAGGGTTTAGGGTTTAGGGTTTAGGGGGTTCATCATTGCCCGAAAAAGGGGCGACTCAGAGTCTCTTGGGGGGTTGCGGCCCGCTTGGCCCTTTTTAACCGGAGGTTCCTAACCCTAAATCTTAAACCCTAAACCCTAAACCCCAAACCCCAAACCCCAAACCCCAAACCCCTAAACCCAACCCCCTAAACCCTAAACCCTAAACCCGCAAACCCTACACCGTAAACCCTTAAACCCTAATCCTGTCAATTTTCATCCGATGACTCTTCTCAGGTCCATGACCAGATGTACGTCACTGCAGAGGCCCAACGTTGAGCTTGAGTGTTGAGGGTTTAGGGTGTAGAGTGTAGGGTTAGAGTTTTAGGGTTTTAGGGTTTTAGGGTTTTAGGGTTTTAGGGTTTTAGGGTTTTAGGGTTTTAGGGTTTTAGGGTTTTAGGGTTTTAGGGTTTTAGGGTTTTAGGGTTTTTCGTTTTTGGCGTTTCAGGGTTGTAGGGTTTAGAGTTTTGGGGTTCAGGGTTTAGGGTTTAGGCAGGGTTGGAGGGTCGAACCTCAGACTAAACCACTCTTCGTGAAGCATGAGGATGGGGGAAAGATGGGCACAGTATTCCTGGCAGTCATCCCGGGTTCCTGATTGAAAGCTGCATCATCAGGTGTATGATGCAGGGAGCCTAACTTACTACCAGTGCAACTTCTTACACGCCTTAGAACCCTAAATCTTCAAGCTTTATGAGCAGAATACAAGCTGCCCAATGCCCAGTTTGTTAGGGTGTAGGAATCAGGGTTTGAGGCATCTACACCCCAGTTAACAATTCATGATGTAGGGGTACTAGGCGTCCTTATTCCTGTATATGCGAAAGATGCCATATCAACAGTCCCCAAATGCCGAGTAGCTCCACAATCGCCTCCATCTAATGTCTTGGACGGGGTTCCCCTGTGTATTCCCCAAGCCTTAACCGTGGACCCTAACCCTGAACTCTAAACCACAAACCCCTAAACCCCCTAAGTCCTAAACCCCTAGACCCTACACCCTAAACCCTTAGCCCTAAACCCTAAACCCTAAACCCTCGACCCTAAACGAGGCTCATACCGCGGCCATGAATGCCTTCGTCAAGAAGCGACCCCTGGCAACCAGTGGGTTTATCATGCAGGGCTTGGCTTAGGGTTTCGGGAGGGGGGTTTGCCCTAAGCTCCTGGGCATAGCACGTAATGAGCTTATAGACTTTAGACTTTAGGGCTTAGGGGCTTGGGCCCTCTTCTCAACCCCATATCACCGAAACCCTAGAGTGAAGCCTATAAACCCAAGTACATAACCTTGTGATTGCGAGGTGGGGAACCTAGTCTTGGGGCTTGGGCATGACTTGCATGCCCACTTCAACCCTGGAAGGCGAAACTGGGAGCGAGCCTCATGGAGTTGAGGGTTTAGGGTTCTATAGGGGTTTAGGGTTTAGGGTTTAGGGTTTAGGGTTTAGGGTTTAGGGTTTAGGGTTTAGGGTTTAGGGTTTAGGCTTCAGGGTTGAGGGTCCGCAGTCTCATAAGGTTTTGAAGGCTCATATATATATATATATATATATATATATATATAGGGTTTCAAGCTCCCAGGGTCCATGACCTGTACATCCCCTCATGCCAGAAGCCTGATCCCCCTCACCCCATTTGGGTAGTTCTCTAAATTAGGGTCCCTTTTGGGGATCCTTTCTTAAAGGGTGCCTGCCGCCTTCGAAGGGGTACCCAAAAAGGGGCCCTAATTTAGGAAACCGCCCATTTCTAAGGGAAGTTGCACGGTCCCTTAAAATCGCCCCCCATGCCTTTTTCAAAGTGTTCTGAACTATGGGCGCTTAGGTTAGAGTATAATTCTAAGTGGCATAGAATCCAGAAGGAAGGGCCCGTACTAAGGGACCATGTCTAGGACCGGGAGTAGGCCCTTTTTCCCTTTTTTTAGGGTTGGGGTTCCCTTATAATCCCCTTAACACCAAAAAGGGCACCCTGTTTATTCCTAGGTTACTCCCGGGTCTAGATGCAACTACCCTGAGACCCCCCTAAACCCTAAACCCTAAACCCTAAACCCTAAACCCTAAACCCTAAACCCTAAACCCTAAACCCTAACACACCTCAGACGATGGCAGCCTAGGCCTCTTCTACAACATGCGCATCAAGACCCTGTCCCGCCGGCGTTGGTGTTGCGTTAGGGTTTTGGAGGGGTTTAGGGTTTAGGGTTTAGGGTTTCGGGCTTAGGGTGTAGGGTTTAGGGTTTAGGGTGAAGGATTTAGGGTTTAGGGTGTGGCGCTTAGGGTTTTGGGGGATCTGGGGGTTTCGAGGTCTAGGGTAGGTTTCAGGGCTCTTCAGCACCCCGCCTCTATTAGTCACCCTGCGCCCGCTGAATGAGACTTGATACGGGAGGGAACCTAGCATGGAGACTAGTATAGAGAGGGGGGCTAGAAAACCTGATTAAACACTAAACCTTGAACCATAAACCCTGAAGTGTAAACCCTAAACCCCGTGCCAGGCAGCGCCAGGCCTCCGACTGTTTGCGGGCGGCCAAGGTCATTGACGAGGCCCGGATTCTCCAGATCTCCTTTTTTTCCTTCGCGGGGTTTAGGGTTTAGGGCTTCGAGTTTTGGGTTCAGGGTTTAGTAGTTAAGGTTCAGGGTTTAGGGCTTAGGGTTCTCCAGGTCTCTTTTTCCCGCGGTTTAGGGTTTCTGGTTTAGGGGTTTAGGGTTTAGGGTTAGAGGTCTGGGGTTTGGGGTTTGGGGTTTAGGGTTTAGGGGTTTAGGGGTTTAGGGGTTTAGGGGTTGAGGGGTTTAGGGGTTTAGGGGTTCAGGGGTTCAGGGGTTTAGGGTTTAGGTTTAGGGTTTTGGGGTTGAGGCTTCCTGCTTCATGATGGGATGTGGGGTCTACACAGCCTAGCTGCAACATTCAACCTTTCGTGAATCCCCTTTTGTGCACAGGGTACTTATACTCCAATTACAGCTGTACTTGTGACCCACTTATGAACCCTCAATTACCCTAATATGGGTCAGAATTGGGCGAAAAGTGCAAAACTTCTATTTGGTTAGCAAGTACCATGAACCTCCAAACAGGCCTCATGTCCTACAAACCCTGAACGTTTCTGGTTGTTTGATCTCAGGTTGTGGGGCCACACCAAAAACCCTTAGCCCTCTAAAACCCTACAAAGCCTACAAAACCTCAAAACCGTATAAACCCCATATATTGGAAACCTCATTATAAATCCTACAAACACCCCACAAAACCCTATAAACGCATGTAAACCCCATGAACCTAAACCCTAAACCCTGAACCCTAGACCCTGAACCCTTATAAACCCTAAATCCTACACCCACCCTAGGGCCCCCCGGCCCCTTTCAGGGGATCCCCTCCTTGGGTAAAAGTGTCTCTCAGGAGCGGCGCAACGTCTTAGCACGGGACTTCGAGGCACCTCGGGCCAGCGCCATTTTCTTACTGGGGTTTAGGGTTTAGGGTTTAGGGTTTGGGGTTTGGGGTTTAGGGTTTTGGGCGTTGGTTCTCAGTAGGGAATGAGAAATTAGGGTTTAGAACCCAAGGGCACATACATCAGAACCCTCTGCAGGAAATGAGGGACCAGAGTAGGCGCCCAAATAACTACCCTTAGACACCACAACAACAGCTGTTCCGGCAAACCCTGAATGGGACGAAGCCCTGATAAATCGAAGCCCCTCATTCCGCACACTCAGAGATAATACCTGCGCAAGTGCTTAGACCCAAACCCCAAACCCCAAACCCCCAACACCAAACCCCGAACCCTAGACCCTAAACCCTAAACCCTAAACCCCGAACCCTAAATCCTAAACCCTAAACCCTAAATCCGCCCATCTGCTACTGCAGCTCCTGGAGCAAGACCAAGGCCCTGTTGGAATAAGCCAGTGCAATACCAGGGGGCCTTTAACAGTTAGAATAGGGTTTAGGGTTTAGGGTTTAAGGTTTAGGGTTTAGGGTTTGGGGTTCAGGCTCCGGGGTTTAGGGTTTACGGGTTAGGGTTCAGGGTTTAGGGTTTAGGGTTTAGGGTTTCGGGGTTCGCTATAGTATATGTACACAGGGACCATAAAGGGAGTACTATTATAGTATTTCTTCTGCCCCCCATCGTACGGCCGGCGACAACCGCCTGGCCGATAGTGGTTTCGCTTCGAGCAGGTCACGGAGGATTTCAGAGCCAGCTCACGAGTTTCCATGAGCTGGCCGACATGCTGTTGAGGGTTCAGGTATCAAGGGTTGACGGGTTTAGGGTTTAGGGTTAGTAAGGGTTTATGGTGCGTTGCTTGGTCAATGATACCTCAACACTGCGCGTGGTTCCGGGGTTTAGGCCTGCGCACTCGAAGTTCTAAAGCCACTAATTTGCATGCAAAGCTTGCGAAGTTTCGAAGTCATAGCACACCCTATTCCGTAAAGTGCCAGCCGCCTAGAAGAGAGCATCCTAAGCCCGAAACCCTAGACACTAAACCCTAAACCCATCCCCTGTCCCTTCGTGGACATGAAATTTGATCATATCTTTGTAGCCACGGCAAGTTCTCCAAAGCACTTTTAGGGTTTGGGTTTAGGGTCTCTGAATCTTACACCTAGGCCACTGTAGAACCCTACTGATAGGCCACTGTAGCAGACAAAGACTTCATCAACAACCTGCTGGCTCTTAGTAGGGGATGAGGGAAGGAGGTACCCTATATTCACTTACATACTCCCTGCAAGGGGTTCTATGAGGTATCCAACTCCCTCCTTGCCTATCCCCTTTCCGGGGCCCATACTAAGGGGCCACGAAGAGCGGGGGCGGTGTGGGGGGTGTCCCTAGACTCTGCATTCTGCCTGGCTGTGGCATCCCTAGTGCCCGACACCCTCAAGTGTTCCCTAAACCCTAAACCCTGCACCCTAAACCCTAAACCCTACACCCCTAAACCCTACACTCTGGTAAAGAAGGAGCGCCTAAGCCGTGTCAGTTCCGCAGAAGCCCTCCACCTGTTCCAGGCAGCTGCCCGTACCCTGCGGCGGGCGCTTTGGCCCGCAATTAGGGTTTAGGGTTTAGGGTTTAGGGTTTAGGGGTTTAGGGTCCAGGGTCTGGGGTCTACGTAGTGTTTTAGGGTTTAGCAAATGGGGTGTAGGGTTAAGGGTTTAAGGCGACTGGTCTTGGGACTCCACTCGCTTTGGCAGTCGTGTCGCGCGGGCCGTACTTCTTGGTGAACTCGCCCCTGGAAGTTGCCTAACCCTAAACCCTAAACCCTAAACCCTAAACCCTAAACCCTAAACCCTGGCCCCACGGTCTCCCAACATGCGATCCTGAACCCCAAACCCTAAACCCTAAAGCCCTACAGGGTGGGGCCCCCTTACTATACTAACTGTAGTTAAGGGACTTATAACCTAACTTAGGGTCCTTATAACCCAATTTAGGGCCCTTATAACTCTACTTATAACTAGGGGGCCCCACCCTGTAACCCCTAAGCCCCTAAACCCTAGTGGACTTAGTCGCGCAAATTCCGAAGCCTCAAAAAGTGCAAGCTGCCCGGCTGCTGTGGTAGGCGCCACCGCTGGGAAGTGTTCTCGCCCGCTGAACCTACAGCAGGGTTGGGCCTATTCGGGTTTAGGGCCAGCTTCAAAGCTCAGGGTTTAGGGTTT